TTTATTTTTTCCTGAGTTGTTGGCCTGCTGATCCGTCCACAGTAGGGCAAGGTGGGGACCATGTGTGTCTCTTCAAATCTAATGTAATCAGAGGCTATGTTTTCTGGAAAAAAGTAAATTTATGTTATGATGCCTCTAATGGCTATGTATTGTCTTACCAATAAGATAATACTGCTTTCGGCAGACATCGTATTGTATTAATTTGAGAATTTTGACGACTCAATTATAGCTGATTCTACAGTTGATAGTTTAAGATTGTTAGAAATGCCAAATGTTACTGAATGAAAGAAATGAGGATGGGCGACCTGGGCTGCACTCTAATCCCAGATGCAAAATGACAGCCTAGTACTTTTTAAAAACTGTGCTGAGAGCAGAGGGCCTCGTGCATTTTAGGTTAGCACTCCATCATTGAGCCATGTATCTAGCCAGATGCTTTTCAGCTGTGTTTCATTAGTTTATCTTAGGCCATACCAAAGGGAAATCTAGCTTATTCAATTATGCTTACTGGTATCTATTATACATATAATGCAATATAAATGTAAACAGGACACTAAAGAGAAATATGAAATGCTTTCTACCATTGAGAACTATCTGGTTAGATTCAACAATTCAGTGTGCATGGGAAAAGTCAAGGCATATAAAACTAAGGACTCCATCGGGAAACTCTCAGACCTGATGAGCAGTTTCAGCAAAGTAGCAGGATGTAGCATCAACATGCAAACCCCAGTAGCCTTTCTGTTTATAAGCGATGGAGATGCTGAGAAGGAAAAGCTCCTATTACAGTAGCTGCAAGACAACACCCCTCCCCAAACAAACGAAGTGGGAGTCAACGAAATCAAGGAGGGGAAGGACAGAAGACAACGGAAACTTTAGACACGGATGACAGACACTGAACAAGACGCTAGAAGGTGGAAAGACGCCTTTGCTCATGGACTGACAGAATTAATATTGTGAGAATGGCTGTATGACTAAAAAAAAAAACGGTATCTAGACTCGATACAAACAACAGTATCAACCCCCCCCTATAATCTTATGTAGAAACAGAAAAGATCCCAAGTCTCCAAAGCAATCCTTCAAAGAAAGAACAGTGCTGAAGATAACACAATACCTGACCTCAGAGTACACTACAGAGCCACAGTAACCAAAGCAACATGGTACCAGCACAAAACGGTGTGGAGACTAATGGAACAGAACAGACTACTGGATAAACACACACAGCCAACACCCGGTTGCATTTCTTTTAATGTGTGCGTGTGTCTGTGTGTGTGTGACTGTGTGTGTCTGTGTGTGTGACTGTGTGCATGTGTGTGTGTCTCTGTGTGTGTGTCTGTGTGTGCGTGTCTGCATGTTTGTGTATGTGTTTGTGTGTGTGTGTGCGCTTACCTATCTTGTGTTTGCCAGGCAAGCACTGTCACCACCTGAACTGCATCCCCTCTCAACACCAACACTTTCCCCTGCTTCTTTGACTCTGCTATTCTAACAGTCCAAAGACTGAGGCAGGAGGATTGTGAGTTAGAGGCAAGAGAAGAAAAGAGACACTCACATGCATTTTTCTTCTTAAAAGTTTTCTAAGGTTCACACCCCACGTTCCCAGATCCTCACATCTGCCACAGTCCCTGTGATGACTCGCCCTCCTGCTTTTATGAAGTCAGACCTCTCTGTCTCTCTTGTACAATGCAATGACAAGTTTTTAGCTTTCACTTGAGCGGAGCGGACCATTTATTTAGACTTTCCTTTGCTTATTACATTAAAGAAAACACTGTTTCTCTCTCCTGGTTCAGTTTCAAACTTGAGATATATCCTGCCTTAGCTTTCAAAGTGCTGGGCTTACAGGTATTGTGATGGTGTTTGGCTTTCCTGTTTTCTTATTAGGCCCGGACCAAATAATACTATTTGGTGATGTATAAATCACAGCCACAAAGGCAAATTTTGAACTCTGAGATCCTGTGGCACAATCTTGGATTCAGTCATTCAGGTGAACCAGGGTGTTCAATATGCTCACCGTACTCGTGTGTGTGTGTGGTGATATATTGTTTATGATCTAATAAAGCTTGCCTGGAGAGCAAAATATAAAACTAGCCACAGCCATAGAGGCCAGGCAGTGCTGGCACACACCTTTAATCCCAGCAGACACACTAGTTAGCCGGGCAGTATTGGTGCACACCTTTAATCCCAGGACTCAGGAGACAGGCAGACAGATCTCTGTGAGTTCAAGGATACCCAGGGCTACATCAGAATGAATCAGTCTAAGAAACAAACAGTTTGCACTTTTAATCCCAGCACTAGAGAGAATATCAGGAGCTCAGTGAAGTCTCAGAGAACAGTCTAGGATTCTGAGGCTTGGTGAAGACCAGTGCAGTCTGGAGATGCAGTCCGAGGACAGGGTCGCCCCTTGGGTCTGAGCATTGGTGGAGGTGAGAACTTTCTAGTGGCTGGCTGCTTTGCTTCTCTGATCTTGGGCATGAACCCCAATATAAGACTCTGGGGTTTTATTATGGTATGTGAGTGCGTGTGTACATGTATGCACATGCGTGCGTATGTACACACAGAGGTCAATGTCAGGTGTCTTTCTCAGTTGCTATCCACCTTATTTTTTGAAGCAGGGTCTCTCGCTGAACCAGCAGCTAACCCACTTGTCACAACCGGCTGACCAGCAGACCCGAGGACCCTCCATTCTCCGCTTTCCTAGCACTGGGGTTACAGACACACGCCGCTGTGCCCTGCTTTTACACGGGGGACAGGAGTTGAACTTGGGTCCTCATGTTCACCCAGCAAGCACTATGGACAGCTGCTTCTGCAGTCCCCATGTCACAATCACAGACCCCTTCCTGCCCCCCCCCCAGAATATTTACTGACTTTACATGGGGAAGAATGGGTTTTCAGGGCTGGGCTGTCAGGAGAGAGGGTGGGGGATGGAAACACCCTTGGTTTTGATGACTCAGAGACATCTCGGACGTGGACCAGAGTGCATGTTGGGCCTTTTCACTTTGGTTGAGGATAAAGAGAAAACATTCACTAGAAAGAATGTGGTCAGTTGACACAGTCTTACAGTTTCCTTAGACCAGGCATACCCTTCCTATTGGACTGAACTGCCGATCACGTGGTTTGGCCAACACTATCTGTGGGGTTCAGAGTAAGTACAGTCGTTTGGGGAAGAGCACAGGGATGGGAGACGATGGTTGAGTAAGTCCGGGGACACCCTGAAAACAGCAGCTCGGCAAAAATAGAGGTGGGACAAAGCCAAAGGTGAAGAGACCGGCGCTGACCACTTAGAGCTCCTGGTGGGCAGAGTGTGATGACACGGGTGCGCAGTCTCAGGGTGTGTGTGGGCACAGTCTGCTCACAGGCTAACGGCAAATGCGTCTGTGGAAAAACGCAGCAGCTGGAGGTAACAGCAAGGCCAGGAGAATAATGCAGCACTGATCATCGGTGGCCCCAGGGGCTGAGGAAGGAGTCAGTAGGTAACTTAAAAGTAGGCGGCCTTGGGCTGCGGAGACGGCTCCACGGGTAAAGCGCTGGTTGCGCCACTGTGATGGCAGAGCCAGGGTTCCCATTCCCCTTGCGACCCTAACTCGGCAGAACGCATGTCTGCAGTCACCGTGCATCTGCACGGCGATGGGAGGTGGAGACGGGAGAAACCGCAGAGACTCTTGGGCCAGATGCCCTGGTGCCCACAAGGTGGAAGGTGAGGATTGGCATCCAAGGTTGTTCTCTGAGCTCCACATAGACACTGGAGTACACCCACAAATGGGCGCAGGAGAGCATGCGCGCACACACATACGCACGCACACGCACATGCACGCACGTCTTGGATGTAGAAATCAGATGGGGTCAGATCAAAGATCGTTTCAGAGCTCAGAGACTTGAGGTGGATAGTTACTGACAAGGCAGCTCAGGGAAAGGCTTCAGCTCTCTGAAGGGCTGGACTGAGTTTCCCTAAGCACGTGGAGCCACGAACTCGGGAGTGTTGAAAACCTAGGGGAGAAAGCCGTCCTTCCAAAATAGGTTAGGGCTGGAGAGAAGGCTCAGAGGTTAAGAGCACTGGCTGCTCTTCCAGAGGTTCTGAGTTCAACTCCCAGCAACCACACGGTGGCTCACAACCATCTGTACCGAGATCTGGTGCCCTCTTCCAGAACCCTGTATGCATAATAAACAAATATTCTTAACGTCTTAAAAAATGAGTAGGTTGAAGAGAGGTGCTGAGGTGTTTGAACTTGACGGACGAGCTCTCGTGAGATCCTTAGGGAGAAGGTGAGGAGGGGTGACTTCTGTATAAATCCCTGTAGACAAAGTCGCAGTCTGTGGTTATGTGAATGCGGCTGAATGCCACGTACCCTACGATTTCCTTTTTAAAGCTAGCGCACAGAGTCGTGAGTGTCCTCGGGGCATTTTCATGCACGCTTTAAGGTCATCTGCATTCCGTCACCCCGCACCCCCGTCTCACAATTCCCTTTCTGCTTGCACGGCCTCCTCCGGCGTATAGGTTCTGTGCGTGAGAAAAGAAAAACATGCAACTTTTTTTTTCTTTTTGAGCCTGGCCTACTCTGCATCACGCCGAGGACATAGCATAGTGTCCTTTTTCCATCTTTTAATTTTCCTGCAAATATTACAATGTGTGAGGCCCTCGTTCTGACCTCGAACTCGTGACAATCATCCTGCCCCAGCCTTAACAGCACAGGGAAAATTACTGGCCCGAACCACCATGCCCACCTGGGCGTTCAGATTCTGAAAGGCAAGGCGGGACCAGTATGCTATTTTCAAGATTTCTTTGTTAGCATTCCCAGGCCTTCACGGACATCGGTTTTCACTCAGGAGGCCTGGGCGGAGAAGGGAACTGAACAGCCTTGCCATTCACAGCTTTCATGCTGCTGCCGGAGCCGCACAGATAGCGACTGCTTCGCTCAGGTGCCCCGTCCTCCTCCACTGGGAGGGGGCCTGAAGCCCGCGCCTCCAGGCGGAAGCGCTGCTGCCATTGGTCCAGCAGCCGCGGTCACCTGTGCGGAGCCCGGGTCCGGAGCGCAAAGTCCGCTGTCCGAGGCCAGGAAGCTGGCGCGGGCGGGCGGCACAGGTGGCTCAGGCCATCGGCCCTGCAAGATGCCGCTTGGACTGCTCAGGAAGAAGAAGACAGCCAAGTCCAAGGAGACGGCGCAGCTGGTGGAGGGCGAGAGGCCCGGCGTCCGCGAGGGCATCCCCGGACCCCCAGCTCCGGCGCGCAGGCTGGTGTTCCACGCCCAGCTGGCGCACGGCAGCGCCACGGGCCGGGTGGAGGAGTTCTCCAGCATCCAGGAGCTCTACGCCAAGATCGCCAGCGCCTTCGAGATCCAGCCGTCCGAGGTAAGCGCAGGCAGCGGGCGAGCGCAGCTTGACCTCCGCCCGGACTGGTGGCGCAGTCCCCGAGCCCCAAGTCTCCTGCAGGGTGGGGTCGGTCCCCAGCGTCTCCCGGGAAGGGAGTCCTTAGGGAAAAGGGCAGTAATGGGGCCGGATGGAACTGTCCGCTCAGATCCGGATCGTGGGTCACTGGGGTCCGACGACTAGGCTTCCTTTTGTTTAAGGAGTCAGCCGGCCATAGAGGCGCCCAGGTCCAGTCGAGCACGATAGGATGTGCGCCAGCACCTTCCGGGAGGGACTCAGATATGCCCCGGGCAAACTTGATGCCCTCCGAGGGGACCTGGACTTTACTCTTAGGCTTTCCGTCAGAGATAAAGGGGAGGGAAAACTTGAAGTGCCTTCCTGGACACACCCAGAGTAAAGGGGGAGACAGCTTAGGGCTCACTTCGCCCACCACTGCTATTGACAGTCTCAGAAGAAGTACTTTAGTGGTAGTATATAAGGGATTAAAAACATGGGTGGTTATCCCAAGGGAGGTAACACAGAAATTCATAGCAAACTGTCCGACTAGCGAACGCAGTTTTCACAGAAGAGCTCAGATTCATTTTTCCAAGGTGTCTTAAACGCGACCAGGAAATTTAGCGAGACTGTATGGTGCTTGGAACTGGCGTTGTCCTAGGTCCTATCTTGAATACATAATAGTTCATGGGAATTTGGTGGATCCTTCATGTTTACCCAAAAGAGCAACCTGCAAATGCAGACGTGAGGTAAATGTTTTGGAGCTTCAGCCAAATTCCTGAACTCAACAGAAAAAAAAAAAAAAACAAATCAGGTGCTTTGAGCCCAAGAAACAACGCTTAGGACTGTCCTCTGGCCTTCACATACAGGTGCACATATGAAAGCATTTTGTTCACTCTTGTGTAAACTTGAAAGGAAACACACACACACACACACACACACACACACACACACACACACACACTTTTTGTCTCTTTAGGACTGCAGGCTTTTGTTGCTATGGACTTCCAGAGTGTAGACAGCAACTTCCAGTTGACGTAAAGTGGCCTACACACATCTGTTGTGTAATTAGCTCTGTGTGTGTGTGTGTTTATGTATGTGTGTTTCCTTTCTTTTTCAGTAAGTTGTTTATCAGGTCTGTTTAGATGAAATTGAGGTCAAGGCAAAGTTTCAGTAAGAAAAGTGTAGTGAGATATCCACCCTGCCCTCACCCGTAGCTCTGTGGTGTCAGAAATGGGATACGAACCCAGGGCGGGTCCGTATTTTTTTATTAAGTTTTTGAGATTAAAGCAATTGTTTTTCTTATGTGGGAGTTCTGTTTGCATGTGTCTGTGCAGCCGGACTCCCTGGACTGGAGTTCCAGGCTGTTGTTAGCTGCTTTGTGGGTGCTGGGAACCAAACCAGGGCTGTCAGTCAGTGCTCTTAGACACCTTAGCCATCAATCCAGCCCCAAGAAAAGAGTTCTTAAAGCAGAACTCTTTGTTCTTTCAGGGTTCCCAGGCTCTAAGGACAAATGAGGAGTCTTCTAGTCGTCAGTCACTTATTTTAACAGAGGCTCACCATCATAGCACGCTGTTTGCATGGGACTGTTCAAAGTGACACTCTCCTCTAACCTCCCCAGGTGAGGTAGGTGGCAGGTTAACCAGATACAGTTGGCTGTGGAGCCAGGTTCTACGTCATGCGGTCGCCGGGTGTCCCTGGCCAAGGTTGACTCCTTTCAGCATCAGCCACCTATCGAATGGAGATAAGGATACCTACCAATGAGGCTGTCCTACAGACGGGTGGAGTCTGTGCATAAACCTCACAGATTGCAGTGGATATGGCCACTGCTCTAAAAACTGTAATTAATACCATTGATGCAGGCCAGTTAAACAAGCCTCTGACGTGCAAAGAGGTTGGGCCTTGACTAAGGTCATGTAGCTTGGGAGAGAGAGAGAAAAAAAAAAGCAAGGTTTCTATTTAAGCCTGGCTCCTCCGGTTCCCAAGCTAGGGAGTGTATTAGCACAATACCAGACAGATCTAGGCTCTCTGCCGTTACCAGCGACTCCAGCCTTAGTGTTTTACACGAGCAGTTTCCCTTATCTCTCACCAGTACATTGTTCTGAGCTAAAGACACATAATTTTCGTCAATCTACTTAATCCTTAAGAAGTGAGCATTATTGTGTTCTTTTGTCGTGAAGAGGAAGCTATGGCTTTGAGGTTCAGAGTCAGAGTCATACACGGGGAGTGGCAGAGCCCACATGTAAGACCATTGTTTTCTCCTGACCCCAGGTTCTACAAGGCTGCACAGATAACCATTCCTTCCAGTCTTAGTAATAGCTTGATAAACATGTTCCGGGTTCTCGGTTTCCAGAGCACTGACTTGCAAACTGAAATTGCAAGAGAAACCATAAGCATAAGGTGTTTTTTGATGTTCAAAGTCCATAAACACATTTTTATAGCAGCAGCATGTATATGTTAGTGTGTTCATGTGCATGACCAACATTAGTTTTCCAGTTGGATTAGAAAAACCGGATGGTGGATGAGATAGCTTAGTGGGTAAAGGCCTTGCGGACAAGGATGGCCACCTGAATTCTATCCTCAGAGTCCACATGGTGGAAAGATAACGGACTCTTGCAAGTTGTTCTCTGACCGCTATACTTGTACTGTGGCATGGTGGCAATCCCCCCAAAAGTAGTGGGAAAACAAAACAAAACAAACCTGCAATTAATAATGAGTATATGCAGCATAGAATATTGTTCACTTGCTCCTTCCTGGGAAGCAGTTGGCTGTTGAGGGCTTCTGGGAAAGAGAGTTGTGTCTTCAGTGGTGTAGACGCTTGGGAGTTGTCCATACTCCAGTAGATATCTCCACACCCATGCTCTTGAAGGTGGTCCTAGCTAAGCTCAAAGCGATAGGAGAGTGTGAGGGGTCGTTGTTGGTAAGAGGTGGGTCTTGGCAGGAGTTCGAGGCGGCTAAGAAAGCATGGGAGGAGAATTTGACCAGATTTCCTTATACGCACTATGAGATTGTCAATTCATCAATTTGCTCATCGCTTTATAGTGTAAATATCCCAGTTAGCAGACACGGAAACTGAAGCTGCTTATTGAAGTCAAGATCGTATCACACGCTTCCGCAACCATCACACCCACTGCCTGCGCTCTCTGCAGTATATTAAGTGAACTGAAAACAAAACCCCAAAACCTTGAGGTATAAATTAAGAGGCATGGGTATCACACGTTTGAGGACAGCCTGGGTTACAGAGCAAATCCGAAGCCAGCTTGTGCTATGGACACGGCAGGATACTGCCTAAGAAGAACAAAAACAAAAACAAAAAACAAAAAACAAAAAACAAAGCAAAAGCCAGGTGGTGGTGGTGGTGGTGGTGGTGGCAGTGGCGGCGGCAGTGGTGGCGCACGAATCCCAGCACCCAGGAGGCAGAGGCAGGCAGGTCTTTGTGAGTTCAAGGCCAGTCTGGTCTACACAGTGAGTTCCAGGACATGCAGGGCTACACAGAGAAACTCCGTCTTGAAAAACAGCAACAAAAAAAAAAAAAAAAAAAGGAAAAAAGAAAAAGAAAAAAGAAAGAAACAAAACAAAAAGAAACAGAACAAAAAAGAAAGCAGCCCCCCCCCAACAACAACAAGAAGCACTCCATAGGGATTTTGGTCCCTATCCTGTTCTCTTGTGAGGGACACGGTGAATTACACGTCATTTATTTATTTATTTGTTTGTTTGTTTGATGTTAGTGTGTGTGGCATAGCCAGTGAACTCAGAAACCTCCCAACTCTGGTAAGTGACGGCAGGGCAGAAGTAGCCCTTACCAAGAGCTATGCTCTTTCCTGGGAGGAGGAAGGAGGCTGAAGTCAGGTGAGGCAGACCCAGGCAAACTTCCAGCAGCTCCTACGACCCCCAGCGGTGCTAGGCCTGCGGTAGGCAGTGTGGCCACTCCGTCCTCCCTGGGGTTTGTCTCATTGTAGACTTGGACCAGTTGTGCCTCTGAGAAGTTAAGCAGCTTTCCCAGAATCTGTAGGCTCATAGCAGCCAAGACTTGATTTCAGTTTCCTGGTTCCAATTGTTTGCACAAAAGCTGGGAGGTTCCTAGTAACCACACTCACATTCTGAATACAAATCCAGGAAACTTATTATTTTTTTTTTTGAGACAGGGTTTTTATTATGTAGCCCTGGCTGTCCTGGAACTTACTCTGGAGACCAGGCTGGACTTGAACTCACTGAGATCTGCCTGCCTATGCCTCCTGAGTGCTGGGATTAAATGTGTGTGCCACCACCACCTAGAAATTAAAACAAAATGTTTACTTGTTAAATGTTTATGTGTAAGGGTGTGAGCCTGTACATGTGTGTATGCGCACCATTGTATACAGTGCCCTTGGAGCTCAGGAGTCTCAGATCTCCTGGAGCTATAGTTACCGATGGCTGGGAGCCACCATGTAGCTGCTGGGAACTGAACCTGTGCCTTCTGAGCCATCTCTCCAGCCCCAAGAAGAAACCTTTGAGCAAATAATTTTTCAACTCAAACACAAACATTTCTATTGTCCTTGTACCCAAAGGATGTTGTGTTAGTCATTAGGAAAATGCCAATCAAAACTCCACTGAGGTGAGTTTACTAAAATTCAGAATTTGTTCTCATTAAGAATACAAATAGCAGGGTTGGAAATTTGGCTTTAGTGGTAATGCCCTTGCCTTAGTCACCTGGAATCATCTCAAGGGGGAAGAAGAGAATCAACTCCACAGAACTGTCCTGTGACCTACACATGTGCTATCTGACATATGTGCACTCTTCATCACACACACATACACACACACTCACACACACTCTGACGGCAACGACAATGATAAACAAAACCAGTTGCTGGGCGAGGGGTGGAGGGAGCGCAGGAACCCCATGTGCTGCTGGTGGGAGTGCAAGTTAGGGCAGCTACTGGGAAACTGGTATAAATGTCCCGAAAACTAGAGCTGGGGCGCCAGAGACTCAAGCCTTACCGCTTCTG